AACATGTTAAGGATAAAATATTAAAAAGGAGAAAAAACATTATCAGTCACACTGGATGGAATTAATTAACCTTTTATAACCTGCACTTTGTTTACAGAAAATGCAAATGTAACAGGAATAGATCTCAGACAAACACTAATGCAGTATACGATAATGTGAATCTACATGAAATTAAAAAGACAATAAAACCAAAAATATTCACAGCTTCTTTCCTGACCTAACCCAACAAGAAGAAGCTGGGGAAGAGTGTCAAGTCAAATATGTGTACTAATTTACCACTGTCAAAAACTTTTAAACCAAATGTATGAGTTCCCTAAATGCAGGATGAGTCATATACATTCAGACAAATGCCATGTCCTCTAACCCAGATGAAGGATAAAATATTATCAGTTATATTTCAATTACAGAAACCTGTTAAACCAAAATGTCAATATTGTGTTAAACTGCTGCTTAAAATACTTGAAGGTACCTCATACTACAGCATCTTTGTATTGAATACAAGACTGGGAAAAGGATTACTGCCTCCACGGATGCGACACTGTGTAATTTGATAGATGTTTACCAGCACTGGAGGACTATGCTGCCCCCATCTACCAGACTGCATGGCATCACACTCCAGAAAACAATCTTCTTAGCCACTAACTACTTCAGAAGACTGGAACGGGTGCACTCCATACAGTAGTATACAAAATTGTGAATGACACTGTTTACAGGTTATTAAGTTTACTTGTGGCCTGTTCGTAACAATTGATTAACATTTTGTAATACATGTAAGTCCATTTACGAGGGGCGGTCAAAAAGTTCCCAGAATGGTGGTATAGCAGTCTAATGGTAGGACATATGGCAATGCTTACCTAATCACCTTCAAAGAAGGACCCTTGCACACACACACTTGCTCCATCGATCCTGCCATTGTTGGAAGCAGCGGTGGAAGGCTTCTTTTGGAATCTTCCAGAGCTCAGCCATCGCATTCAATTTGATGTCCTCCATGGTTGCGAAATGTGGCCCCTTGAGGTCCATTTTCAGAGTAGGGAACAGCCAAAAGTCACTCGGAGCCAGATCTGGAGAGTACAGTGGCTGAGTGATGACAGGAATGTTTTTCTTGGTGAGGAACTACTGCACACCAAGTGATGTGTGGTTTGGTGCGTTATCGTGATGCAGAAACCGCTGTCCCTGCCACTTGTCGCGCTGCTTCCTCCAAACCGCATCGCACAACCTCTGCAAAACTTGCACATAGAAATGGCCAGTAACAGTACCAACTTCTTGCTCCAACTCCCCAACAGTCATGCTTCGAACACATTGAATCAGTTGTGCACTTTTCCAATCATTTCTTCAGGCCACTGCACTGGTCTTCCTCTAATGTCTCCTGCCCATTCTTAAACTGGGAAAACCAGTTGTAAACTGCGAATTTCTTTAGTGCAGTATCACTGATAGGACCGACAGCATCTCTGAAGCAAATTTTCCCAATTTGCATACGAAATTGATGTTCACACGCTGCTCGAACTGCGACGTTGCGCAGAATGACCAACACTTGCATCTAATTCAAACAGATCAGTAATGACACTGCGCACTGAAACCTGTCCAGACCTGTTGCGCCTGTAAGCAGACATGCTGAGCTTCCTACAACAACAGTGTGTGTGCTATCTTATCGCTCGTTCTCTGTCTGCAGGGGAATTCCAAGAACTTTTTGACTGCCCTACGTATGTCCATTTTCACTTCAGATCAGCAACAAACATTAAATAATCAGGCTACATTTACGAAATTTAGGTCAGACATATACAAAACAATAAATTTTGATGTGATTAGAGTATTACTTAATTACTTACTTATGGAGCTGAGCCCTTCTTGAGGAGAAGCCAGGTATTCAAGAATTTCCCAAAATTTTATGGAAACCATAGATTCATTACCATGTTCACAAGAGCCCTCCACTGGTCCCTATCC